GACTGACCCGGGTCTGGATTGACCGGGGTCAGAAGATCCCAGAGAAGCCTGAAATTCTCTAGGACTGGCTTACAGCCAAAGATTCAGGGCTGCCCCAGCCCCACTATAGCCAACGTGACTTAGAAATTGAGGCTGTCCCCGATCAAAGCCAAGGCACTGCGGATTGAGGTGGGAAGAAGGGGACCAGTGTAAATCCAGGACGCATCAAATCAAGAAACCCTCCCTGTAGCTTCCGTAGTCATGTCCCTAAGAAGATCGATTTCCACTACGGGAAAAAGACCCAATTGGAAGGCGGTTGTCTGAGATTCAACCGTGCCAAAGCACCAGTCCTGGGACTTCAGGCCCACGAATCAAAAGCACGGTTGAGCCATGACGATCTTGAACCGCACCAAGACCTAGTTCATTCCTAGGACTGCAAAACTTCAAATCCGCAACTCAACGTGACGCCAAACATAACAATCATTGAAACTTGTTAAATAGTGTACGAAGAAGGTGGGCGGCGCCATGGCGAGACCAATGGTGTTGGAACAAACGCCCTCCATCTGCTAACTCTGTCTGAACTCTTCAGATTTTGAATAAGACCCGCACTCAATCCGTGAACCCCATGGACTCTTGTCAAACGAATATGTGCGCAACGTTATGACGAGAACCACATGTTGAATAAGGCCTGACTCACATCCGTGAAAGCGTTGCACGTTTAAGCTTCACGATCATGAATGGTGAACGAACCTGAAGCGAAACGCCCAGCCCGCCCTACCAACACGTGTCGGGGTGCGCCAGGGAGGAGCTAGTTACAAAGAAAAATAATGGAGGAGAAGGTCGGAGGAGGAGGAGGAAGAGGAGGTGGAGAAGGAGGAGGAGGAGGAGGAGGAGGAGGAGGAGGAGGGGGAGGAGGAGGGGGGAGGAGGAGGAGGAGGGGAGGAGGAGGAGGAGGAGGAGGAGGAGGAGAGGAAAAGGGAAAAGGGGGGGTGAGGAGGAGGAGAGAAGGAGGAGGAGGAGGAGGAGGAGGAGGAGGAGGAGGAGGAGGAGGAAGGAGGAGGAGGAGGGAGGAGGAGGGGGGGAGGAGGAGGGGGGAGGAGGAGGAGGAGGGGAGGAGGAGGAGGAGGAGGAGAAGGAGGAGGAGAAGGAGGAGGAGGAGGAGGACAACGAGGAGGAGGAGGAGGAGGAGGAGGAGGGGAAGGAGGAGGAGGATGAGGAGAAGGAAGAGGAGGAGGAGGATGAGGAGGAGCAGAAGAAGAGCAGGAGTGCGGGGGAGGAGCGTGGGAAGGAACAGGACAAGTGAGGAGGAGGAGGACGAGGAGGAGGAGGAGGAGGCGGAGAGACAGAACGAGAGAGAGAGAGAGAAAGAACAACCGCGATGCGGCAGTCCTGCTTTCGTGGCGAACAGGCCGCGGCGGGCCCTGCTCAGGAGCGCCACGGAGGAGGAGGAGGAGGAGGAGGAGGAGGAGGAGGAGGGGGAGAACTACGACGACGACGACGATGTGGACGGGAACTTGGGTGGGGGAGCTGGGTGGAGTGGGGGTCGGTCGGTCGGTGGGGTACAGCCCTCCAGGCGCAGGGGCAAGTCTATTTCGGTGGCAACCCATGGGAGCCTCCCATACCATCCGGTCGGCTCTTGCGAATCGACGCCAGTCAACGCTAATTCGACGCCCATCCATGTTGCACCGACGCTGCATCGACGCCAACGGACGCTAGACTGGCACGTTCTCTTCGATCGCCAGACGCTGATCGACGCCATTGCATCCTAAAGACAGAATTGCGAGGGTGCAAGACGGCCCCCACGATCTGCTGCCAAACCTCGCCCCCCTCTCCCTCGCTGTCGCCTCCCCCTGCCAGGCCGCCCCGTCGTCGTGGTGCTCTGCCACCGGGTGCTCGCCGCGCTGCAGCCGGCCCGCAGCAGAAGAATGCGCGGCGAGGCTGCAAGGGGCCCCCTGGGAGGCCAGGTCGACACTTGGCGAGCGGAGCGCGGCCAGCGAGACGCGGCCAAGGATGGGCCGAAGAGGCAAGGATGCAAGGGTACCCTTGGGAAGGTTGCCCATCCTTACTCGAGATTTCGTAATAAAGGGAGGGGGGTCTCATTTCGGGGGAGGGGGTCTCTTCCAGGCTATCTTGGAGGGCCTGGGGGGTCTGGGGACGATGTTTTGGAGGGTTCTCCCACGGGGGAGGTCTGAAATGGCTTGTCTTGGAGGGTCCAGACCCCCTCCCTTTTATTACGAAATCTGGGGTACCCTTGGGAAGGTGGCCCATCCTCACCGTGCGGGCTGACTGTCTCTACAAATGTTGCGGCACTGTGGTAAGAGCAATGTGGTCGTCCGCCGTGTGGTGTCAGGAGGTACCGCTTGTGGTCCTGCTCTGCGTCAATGCTGGGATTGAGTATCTGGATCCTCTTCTTTGGTTTTGGAAGCCAGACAGCCCCTGACAACTGTCACTTGATGCGCGAAAGAATTTGTTCGAATGAGAAAACACAGCCAGGCCAGGAGTGCCACGGGGCCAGTCCTGAAAGAGGCTGTGTCTGGGCGGTGGCTGGCGGGGACCATACCCCCAACGCCCTGGGGGTCCACTTGGGTGACGGGGATGCGGATGGGTGCCCCGGGGCCTTTTCGGGGGAGGGAGGGAGGAGGATGGGAACGGGGGGAGGGGAGTGGGATGGATGGGAGAGGAAGGGGGGAGAGAGGGGGGGGAAGAGATACAGAGATGGGGGGCAGCAGGATCGTGCAGTGGCAGGAGCACGCAGGAGAGGGGGCACGGACAGGGCAGAGGGGGGCCCACGGCGGCGGGGGGCCCGAGGGACTAGGAGGCGAGGCGAGGCGCCGAGAAGGCGAGGAGAGGAGGCGAGGCGGGAGCCCCACGGGGACCGAAGAGGGGGCGCGGCGCGGCGGCGCCGTTTCTGCCCGCGGCGGCAGGGCCGCGCCGGGGGAGAACCGCCAGCGCGCCACGCCGCCGCCGGGCGGCCGGCGCCAGGCGAGCGCCGGCGCCGCGGCGGGCCCCGCGGCCTCCCAGCCCGACTGCTCGACGGCGCCCCGAAGGCGCTGCTCGTCGGCGAAGGGCAGCATGGCGGCCCCCTGCCAGGGCCTGTCGCCCTCCTTGGACGGAAGCCTCCCGGATGGGGTCGGAGCAGATGTGGTCGGAGGGTCGCGCCGCATCGCCGATCGCCGTCGGCGGTGCATCGGCGACGTCGGCAGAGAGAACATCGGGCTTCACATCGAGCGGCATCGCCAATGCCTCGGCGATGCATCTGCGATGCGGCGCGATCCTCCGACCCCATCTACTCGGACCCCATCTAGGAGGCCTAGATTAGAGAGCAGCCCATGGCCAGTCACCACCCCAAGGGAAGCCGTGGAGCGATCGCACTCGAGGGAGGATGCGAGCAGGACAGGGCTGCTCAGTAAGCACCCAGGTCCGTAGAGTCCAGTGGAGACCCATTCCAAGAAACGCTCTGCTTGCCTCCACGATGCCCTGGGTTTCTTGGGCTTCGACGCTTTTGCTATGGGAAGCGTGACGCTCCCACACCACACCATCCACGGACGTCCTGGGGTCTCAGCGCGGGGTCTCTTGTGGAAGGTCTCTTGTGGACTGGCCTCCACTGCAAACGCCACTCCTGGGGGTCGGGGCGGCTGCTCCTCCCCCGATCCTTGCGCACGACCTCGAACTCGCGGGGGTAGAGGTCGGCCAGCGGGGAGGCCTTCTCGGCGAGCAGGGGCCGCAGCGGCCCCGGCAGCAGCCCCGCGGAGCGGGGGGGGAGGACCGCCAGCAGCTGGATGACCTGTGGCAGCGGCTCGCCCAGCGGACCCACGGATCGGCGGCGAGCGAGGGGGGGGAAGTGAGAGGGAGAAGGCCTTCTCAGAGGCCAGTGGGGCTTCTCAGAAGCCCTCGCGCCTTCTGAGAGCTATTACGTATCTGTGGGGAGCCTTATAGAAGCTTCTCGGAAGGCCGGGCGACTTCCGAGCCTTCTCAGAAGGCCCGCCCCTTCTCGATTCCCCCCCTCGCTCGCCGCCGAATGGACAGCAGCACCCCATCCCCCGCGCCAGGTGCGCTCAGCGCACTGTACAGGCTGGCGCACAGCGGCGGGAAGTGCGACGGGTAGAACCACGTCCACGAGGGGCAGCCCTGGGTGTAGTAGGAGACGACCCACTGGATGCCCGCCAGGTACGCCCTGACGCGGCACTCCTCGGTGTCCGCCATCCCGGGCGGGCACGGACCCGATTGAGCGTAGTAGTCGTCCTTCAGCACGAGGGCCGCCTGCACGAGGTCGCCGTCCGCCGCGCAGCGCGCGGCCACGCGCTGGCGCGCCAGCCGCTCTGGGCCGTCCCTCGGCCGCACGCTGTGGTCAACGACGGCCCTCACCGCAGGCTCGCTGGCCGCCTGGCCGCCCACGGAGGCCACGACCTCGACCTCGCCCACCTCCAGGGTCTCGGAGCCCTTCAGCACCGTGGCGATCCGATCGAGGTCGTGGCACCACGTCCGAAGCCGGTTGAAGGCGGCGAAGACTCTGAGGGGCACGAAGCGGTCCTCCCGTAGCAGAACCTGCCTCCGCAAGAATCCATCGGTGGGCAGGTTCTTCGGACCCAGCCAGTACTCGAACGATTCCCTGATGGACCTCTCGAGCACCTCGCGCCAGCCAGCCGCCGGCTCCAGAGGCCTCTGCGGCAGCCCGGCCAGCTCGATCGCGCGCGGATCCACCCAGCTTACGTCCAGCACCGTGCCCCGGACCTTCCGGCAGGAGACCAGGGTCATCACCGCAGACCTGGCGTCCGCGAGGCGCGCGACCCAAGCGGTAGCGTGGCCCACGCCACCTTTGGGCCTGACGTTGTAGACCGCCTGGACCTGGCAGCCCTGCTTCGCCAGGGCGGCCCTCACGTCGGCCCCGCTGGTGTGTGGGGGCGCGCCCCTGACCAGCACGGAAAGCCCGTCCCAGTCGTCGCTGGGCGGCCTGGGAAGATCTCCGCCGCTGTCCGCCGGCGGCGGAGACGGCGACCTGCGGCCCAATCCGGCACTCTCCAGCAAGGACTCCGCCTCTGGCACCGCGAGCCTGCGCAACACCTCGCGCCAGGCTGGCAGAATCAGGGAGCCGCTCTGGTCGACCAGGTGGCCGACAGCACCCGCGCCAGCGGCCGAGAATGCCGCGGTGTACGCCTCGATCAACTGGTCGATGCCGCCCTCGTGGAGGAACAAAATTCGGCGTAAAGATTCACTTTGAGAGCTCCGAGCGGATTCTTGGATCTGCGTTGAATCCTACTCCCTTGCGCGCGGAGTGCGCCCGGGGCGGCGCCAGAGGTGCCGCCAGGGGGGGGCCACCGCCGATCCATGTGGAACTCCGAAGATGCATGTGTATGCCGCTTTTTGCTCGTCGACCTCGAAGACGTTGATGGCGGACGCCTGCGGCAAGAAGTCGTTGCCGGCCAGGCAGCATAGCGCGGCAAAGTCCAGCAGCCGCCGGTCCTCGCCGCAGCCCTCCGGCAGCAGTCCGAGCAGCCACGAGCGCAAGAGGCCCAGCTCGGAGACGTCGAAGTCCTTGAGCACCTGGACATCGTTTAGACAGCCCCTATCCGCAGCGGCGTGGCCCAGAGCCCACTGGCCGATTGAGCCCCCTGGACGGGGATATGCGCTGTTCGTTCAGGGACTCGAGGGGCCTATCGCCAACTGGGGTGGTGGCATGGTGGGCTGAGATGCCATGGCCGCGGGGATTGGAAATAGGTTAACGGCACTGAGCACTTGCGCGATCATAGCACTCCGGATGGCATCGCTCTCCGCGAGCAAGCCGCCGCAGCAGCTGCCGTCGTCGCTGTCTGCACCTTCGGTGGCAACTCACGGGAGCCTGCAATACCATCTTGCTGGCTCTTGCAACTCGATGCTAATCGAAGCTAGTCGAGACTGATCGACGTTGATCGACGCTAACCGATGCGAATCGAAGCTCAGCTGGTGCCCTCTAATCGATCACAAGACGCTACCGCACGCGTATGCACTCGAACGACGGACCTCCGAAATCATACAAGGCTCTCATGGCCCTGGGGTCTGACGCTGCAGAACAAGACGAACAACATAGCGAAACACCGCGACCGGAGCCGCAGGCACGATGTGTCTGCGCCGTTTCCCGAGAGATCGATGCGTGAGGGCCCCGAGGGGCCCGAGCCGGGGCGCACCACGGCCGCGCTGCCGAGGCTGCAGCGCCAGGGCCTCGGGGGAAGGCTCCCATGATGGGAGCGAGGGGGAAGCGACACCACCACAACCACCAGGGACCACGAGCGGGAGGATCCGAGGGGTAGAGGAACAAGAACTATGCACATACACCGATTCTGGCCAAGCCCATCCTGAGCCCAGGATCGGTGCATACGCCCTCCTACCTTGGCCAGGAAGGCATATGCACCGATCCTGGGTCAAGGATGGGCCTCGCCAGGATCGGTGCATGTGCATAGTTCTTTTCGCCCGAAGGGGGTCCCCCTGGCCGTGTGGTCCCCTGTCTCGCTCGAGGTAGCCCCCCTTCCTGGCTTGTGGCGGCACCGCGGAGCTCCTGGCTGGAGGTGGCCCACATGGTGCTGGTGCCGCTTCTCCTTCCCCCGACCATGATTTTGCGGGCTGGAGCTTCGAGCGCCCATCCCACGAAACCCGAGGCGCAGTTGATATGGACAAACATCGGGCCCCTTAGAGGCTGGAGTGTGATCCGTATCCACTGCGCCTCGCCCTTTTGGCGCCCCTTCCCAGAAAGGCCTAGACGCGGCGGATATGAATGGAAATCTCGACTACAATTTTGCCACCGAAGGCACCCGTGTAGTCATCTTCAAGGAGCTCGACCATCACGGCCGGCACGCCGTTGTCCCTGCCGGGCGGCAGCGGCGACCTGCTGGCGGGTGCTCTAGGTAGCCGTCGTTCTACAGAATCTGGCAAGTCGACTTGCATGGAGGGGACGGGGATGGGGGCATGGCGAGGGCCGAAAGGGAATGTGGACCTCACGCAGGCCGGGACTCACTTGCACGATTTTTCGGCCCAGCGCTGCTTGAAGGCGGCGGAGAGGGGGAGGGGGGGTCGGGGGAAGATGCCATGCACGTAGACTTACCTGAGTCTCGATAGAAGCCTCCTAGATGGAATCCGAGTAGATGGGATCGGAGGATCGCGCCACATCGCCAATGTATCGCCGATGCATCGGCACCATCGGCGTGGAGAAATTCTGGCTGCGCATCGAGCCGCATCGTCAATGCATCGGTGATGCGGAGCGATAGTCCGACCCCATCTACTCGGACCCCATTTGGGAGGCCTACACTAAAGAAACACGCTTAGTATCTGCCCACCCCTGGATCCCTTCGGCTCCTTCCTCGCTGCGCGCCCGCATGCGCGTCTTTCGCTCCCCGATCGCCCCCTTATCTGCGACACGATAGCGATCCCTGAAATCCTGTTGGTGTTACGCTCCGCGCGGGGCATCGGCGCAATTCCAAAGGATCGCTGTTGAGCAATCCATGCCGCTGGGCACTAGGTATCTGCATCCGTGCCTGCGCGGGGAGTTGGCGTGTTAGAATGCTCCTGCCGTCCCCCGTGGAGTGTTGTTTCATCCATTCTAGGGCCGACAAAAACCCTGGTTCGTACACGGGGTTCAAAAATGGTTTCCCCTGGAATTGCTCCCTGGCGCCATGTTCGGCCTCCAAACGGCAAAGATGGTGTCCAAGATGGCTTCCAGGACAGTCAAGACAACACCAAAACGACCCAACACGGCCCAAAACCTCAAAATCTTCTCAAGACAGCCTCTGACCAAGAGGCCCACAAGACGGCCCAAGAGGGCTCCAAGAGGCCTCCAAGACGGCCCAAGAAGCTCCAAGAGACCATCCTGGACAGCAAGATGGAGGCCACAACCATTGACTTCCCCTCGGCTTTTGAGGGATCCGACCGCCCAAGACGGCCCCAAGAAGCCTCCACTGGGCCTCCACGGCAGTTCCTAGACAGCCCAAGAGGCCCTCCTGGAGAACCCGAGGCTAACACACACATGAACTTCCCTTCAATATTTCACATATTTTGAGGTTCTCACCTGTTCGGGTTTATGACCGCCCAAGACGGCCCCAATAAGCATCCACTAGGCCTCCAGGATAGCTCCTAGACAGCCAAAGAGGACCCAAGAGGGCCCCAAGTCGGCCCAGGAGGACCCAAAGAACAACCAAGGAGAGCCCAATGAGGCCCCAAGACGGCCGTGAACCGATCCAAGAAGGCACAAACGCAGACAGGAGAGGCCCACAAGGCGGCCTCCGTAGGGATCAGACGAGCCAAGAGTCTCCTAAGACGTCCCAAGAAGCCCCCAAGAGGCTCCATGAGGCCCCCCAAAGGCCCCCCAAAAGCTTTCAGGAAGCTCCCGGGAGGCCACCAGGAAGCCCCGAGAAGGCCCCAAGAAGCCTTCTCCTTCTCATCCTCATGTTCTCCTCCTCCTCCTGCCTCTTCCTCCTCTTCCTCCTCTTCCTCCTCCTCCTCCTCCTCCACCTCCTCCTCCTCCTCGTCCTCCTCCTCCAGACTCCTCCTCCTCCCTACCGCGCGGACGAAGACGAGTTCGGGATCACGACCTGCCCCAGTGCAGACTGCTCGTCGGAATTGCGCTGGTTGCACGGGCACGGCGGCGGGGTCTGCCGCCCGAAACGCTCCATAAGCACCCCCTCCCTCTGCAAGCCCGCCCGACGGCCCGTCCCTGCCCCCCCCCCCCACGCGCGTTCCGAACTCGCCCGCGAGCGCGACCCCAACCTCCCACGCCCCGTGCAGGACCCCCCCCCACACATACACACACAGACACACACACACACACACACACACACACACACACACACACACACACACACGCGATCTGCCCCCAAACACTACTGGAGCAGCTCGGAGCACGGGCTTCCCGGCAACGGGAAGAGCAGCAGCGGGAGCGTCCTGCGAAAGGGGCGGGCGCAAGAGCCGGCACCCACCCAAAACCTGGGCCAACGCCGGGCCCGCGAAGGCCCGCTGGTGGCCCGTCTGCCGCTCGCGCTACCTCTCGCCATCGCTCGGACGTCCGTTCCCTGTGTGTTTTTCGGTTTCGCGCGTGGATTTGTTTCGCCACATGATCAAGGATGCTCCTCGATGGCCCTCGCCGAGCGAAAAATGCACACGTCCGAGCGATGCCAAGACCTGGAGGAACCCGAGGTGGCTCCCGCAGGCAAAACTGCCGCTTCGGGCCCCGCGAGTTCCTCGCAGATCGGCCCATCCGCCCTCGCCTCCCGTGTGCCTTCACCAGCCGTGTGGCGGATGATGGGCAGCTGCGCTGGGTCGACGAGGAGATCCGAAGCAACCTTGCGAGATCCCCAAGACAATGCCACGGGTGTGCCGCAACAGATCTAGTGACATGGCCACCTGCACGCCTTGGAAATCGGGATGTTCTGAAACATCGAATGTCTTGATAACTCCTAATCGAAGAACTGCCTTGCCCCCTAGCAGGCCAGCAGACCATTCCAGCCAGCCACACAGAGTCGCCTGAACAACGAGGCACGAACCACCTCGGAGTCACCTGTGACTACTGAATACAGGCAAATAACATGACGAATTGCTTCCATGGCAAACAAATGTCTCCCAATGGCTCACTTTGGCCAGCTTGAAACGAGCCCAAATTGCCCCCTAACCACAAACACCTGGCGGCCTGAAAGTCTGTGCTGCATGTCAGCATCTTGAAGTGCGGATTGACCGAGGACGCCAGCAGAAGGCCCCTCGACGGCCTGAGAGCCACCAAGACGGCCCAGGGCCCCAAACCGCCCCCAAAACATGCCACTTCGACCGATCCCATGCGGAAGAGCGCCGTAGAACTGGCGCAAACAACACAGACCCGAGACGCCCCAACTAGCTTCTGAAGAAGCCCCCAAACAGGCCCCCGAAGAGACTCCTGCAGAGAGGGCCCCCAAAGGCCACAAAGCAGCCCCCCCAGAAGACACAGAGATACCTTCACAGGGGTGGGGATGGTGGGAAGGGGGGTAAGGAACAAGGAGAATGAGGCTGAGGACAAACAGGTGTTGATGAAGACTTGCTCCAGTTCAGACTGGGCGCTGATTTTGAGTTGGCCTCAAGCGAAACCTTCACAATGCTGCGCTGCAGCGCTGGCAAGGCAGCAGTTGTTGCCACGGGCAGCTCGTTTTCCTCTAAATCCTCATCCTTCCCTCCTCGATCTCCGCTTCCTCATTGATTGTTCTCTTCCTGCCTCCTCCTCCTTCTCCTCCTCCTCCTCTCCTCCCCATTCTCCTCTTCCTCATCCTCCTCCTGCTGCTCCTCTTGCTCCTCTACTCCACCTCGTCATCCTCAAGCCTCGTCCTCCCCATCCTCATCACCGCCGTCCTCCGCAGCACCCCTGAAACCCCCGCAGAGCCGATCACAAACAGCCACCGACCGACAAAACTTTGCTACCACCAAACAATTGTTTTTTATCCGCGGGTCGAGAGCGCACCTCTTCCGGTCGAAGCTAAGCGGGCCGCGCGCGAAGCTTGAATTGGGCAGAGAACGCCACCACCAGACAGAGCAGCGATGCAGTCGTCGTGCTGCCAAGGAGGAGCGCTGCATCGGGAGCGAGGAGCCTCGCCGACGACCGACGAAGCCCTTGCCACCACCAGACAGAGCAGCGATGCAGCCGTCGTGCTGCCAAGGAGGAGCGCTGCATCGGGAGCGAGGAGCCCCACCGGCCGCGGCGGGCCTCAGCCACGAGCAGGGGCCCCGACCTGGGCATGAGCGAGGGCCCGAGGACTGGAGCCCCGTCGGAGTCCGTCGGGGTCTTTCACATCATGGGGTCGCGATCTTCTTTGGACGCCCGAAATGGGCACGGAAAAAATGGGCACGATGCCCAACAACAAATGTTGCCCCAAACCAACAGCGGCCGCTGTTGGGCAGGCGGCCCTCTGTCTCACATGTACACAGGCCGCGGCGACACCGACAGCGAAACCTGTTCAAAATGAGCAAGAACTGCTGTTGGGCATTGTACCCATTCTTTCCGTACCCATGTCGGGCGTCCAAATCTTCGTGCGCACACCACCCACACAAGCAGGCTGGTCCGGCGCAAGACCGAGGACAGGAAGGGCGGGGTGGGGGCACAGAAGCTGCACCAGCCCTGGGGGGCACATGCTCGTGCACACGACCCCCTCAGACAAGCTGGTCCAGCACAAGCTGCGACGCGCGAGGGCGGGGGTCACAAAACGGCCACCCATGACCTCGTCTAGACGGCTGCGGACCATCCCTCCTCCGCCCTCCCTCTCGGGGCGCTGGCACGCCTGGGTTCGACGGGAACTGGTTGAGCAATGCCGTTTTCCAGGGGACGGCCCCACGCCCCTTCTACTAACCAAAACTGCCGTCAACCAAAAACAATGTGTATATATATATAACCAATGCGGCAAACTCGGCTTGGTGAGTCTGGCATGCTGTCCAGGCTTCGGGGCAGATCACTAAACGGCTCCCCTTACGCGGGCTTCTGGCTATGTGCGCCTCTCGCTCTTGAACGCGTTCGCGGGGCAGCGACCAGGTGCCGATGCAGCTGCTCCCCGGACCTCTGCTGGTGTGCGTTCTGACCAGGAGGCCGAGTCGAATCCGGCCGAGGCGACGGGGGCCTCCATCCCAGAAGGCCCAAAAGAGAAACACAAACAAACAACGAGGGAAGGGTGGCGGCATCAGTACCTGTTCCTCCTCTGAGCTCCCCTCACCCAGGCTCCTGGCTACTACAAGTCGGCCCGTATAAGAAGGATGTGCTGTGCGGATGCTAGGGCATTGGACGCTCATGACGAGGCTCTTCGAGCGGGGCTGGCCATCGAAAGTGGTTGAGGATGGACTGACTGACCGAGGAGGCAAGAATACAAGGATACCCTTGGGAAGTAAAGCATCCCTACTATGTAGAGCCCTTCTAGATGGGGTCCGAGTGGATGGGGTCGGACGATCTTGCCGCGTGGGCGATACATCGGCGATGTATCGCCGATGCATCGGCGACGTCGGCGATGCATCGGCGTCGTCGGCGTGGAGAACATCGGGCTCCGCGTCAAGCCGCATTGCCGATGTATCGGCGATGTGGCGCGATCCTCCGACCCCATCTAGGAGGCCTAGCAGAGCATCCTAGGGAAGTCGATAATCCTTCCTACGGTAGGGGCCCTTCCACAAAAACCCTCCACAAGAACGCCGTCCCTGAGACCCCAGGACGTCCATTGATTCTGGCGTGGGGACGTCACGCCTCCCACAGCCAAACCATCGAAGCCCAGGAAACCCAGGGCACCATGGAGGCAGACGGGGTGCGAGCCGAAAACGGCCGATTCCTGAATCTACGCGTCAGGGTAGGAGGCCTGCCCACCCGCGAGATCCTCCTTCCTGTGAGGTCTGAATGAAGGTGCGCCCCCCTCGCTCTCCGCGCGGGCGCTCGGACGTCCATTCCCTGTGTTTTTTTTTTTTGGTTTCGTGCGTGGCTTTTTCGCCAAATGAGCAAGGATGCTCCTCGATGGCCCTCGCCGCAGGAAAAAACGCACACGTCCGAGCGATGCCAGGCCCCTGTAAGGTCGATCATCCTTCCCGTGAGGGCCGACTGCAGGTGCGCCCCCCTTCGCCCTCCCCGCGCGGGCGCTCGGGGGCGGCGGGGGCGCGCGACTCGCGCAGGAGGATCACGGACCGCGCGCCCGAGACCTGCGCCCAGGCGGGGGGGGCCCGAGCCCCTCGCGCTGGGAAAAAAAACAATAAAAAAACAAAGAAGAGCACGGCGGGAGGTCACTGCCCCCCTCCTCGTCCTCCTCCTCGTCCTCCTCCTCCTCCTCCTCCGGCTCCTCCCCCTCCTCCTCGGCCCTCCTCCTCCTCCTCCACATCCTCCTCATCTTCGCCCTCCTCGCCATCGTCATCCTCCTCGTCATCATCGCCCTCATCAACATCGTCGCCGTCGTGCTCATCAGCACTGCGACGTACGCCATCGGCCACTTGCGTGAGCATGCCCCCCCAAAATTCGCGAGGCCGGCGCCATGATACGAACGCAAGCTGGACGCGTGAGGGTCGAAGGTCGGCTGCTGCCGGTGAGGGGGAAGCGTTGAGACGACGACGAGACGAGAGGCCGAGCTCGGACGCGAGACCAGGGGAACGAGGGGGGGAACAAGGGGGTTCGGGGGAGGGGGGAGGGGGAGGGGAGGGAAGAGAAGCATGGGGACGGAACAGGCGAGGCAGAAAGCGTACTTCATCAAAACATGTGCTTTGACCGTGCTGCAAGTAGGCCCCGACCAGGCCAAGGAAAATCAGGTCTGCGTCGTTGCTGAACAGGCAGTGGCTCTTATCTCGGTAGGCGCGGATCACCTTTCGGGAGACTCCCAATGCTATTACCATATATATATGTATATATATATACACATACATACATACCTCTGGAGCAATAGGGTGGCAGGCTGGTAAACCAGGTATCGGCGCGAATCAGCTCTCGGGCAACTCGTGGCGCTTGTACCCTCACCAAACCTTCCCCCAACGCTGAGTGCGCAACAATCTGTGATCTGGACGGCATGTTGGAGGCGACCACATGGGGTCTGAACTGGACGGGCCCCGAGAACATCGGTGAAGGAGAGGGGATCAAAGCAAAACCAATCAAATGGGTCCCTGGACCCATCTAGAAATCCGTCTGGTGCATTTTGTCACCCTGGTCCGTTTTTGACGGTCCGGGGGCCCGAAAACGGCCCCTGGAGATCAACAACGGCACAAAAACCTTGTCGAGCCCAGAACCTCGAACCGCGCATTAGGTCGGGCATCCTACAGGCGGATTTCGGAAGAAGCATGTTTGAAGCATCATACACACAAAATATCACACATGGTCAGAAGAGGACGAAACATCGTCGCAAGACTATATGTCTCCTGTCCTTGAATAGTCCTCCTTTCAAAGGACACGCCCGACATAAACCTCGCCCCCCGTCCCTGCTCGAGGGAGCCAATGCTGGGCCACCTCAGACCCCCAGCCGGCTCCAACGGGTGGGCAGAAAGCGAAGCGAAGCGAAGCGAAGCGAAGCGAAGCGCGCAAGTCCGCCGGAGCGGGACCCTTGAGGGTCGGCGCGGGCGGGCCGGGGCCCTTACACCGTGGTGCCGGAGATGTTCATAAAGAAGCCGTCGAATGCGTGATAAATTGTGCCTCCAATCTGTGTCACACACAAGTGTCGCAAGCAAGCTGTAACCACCATCGGCAACCGGTGTCGTCGGATGCCCTTGTGTCGTCCACCAGTTTGTGTGAGATCAAAATGCTGACGATATCATGATCCCATCTTTTGCGCTGTCCTCCGTGTTTCCTCTGTGCAGGTCGTTTGTCGTGCACTGGGGGTTCCCAGACGGCGGCGCGTCGTGACCAGCGGTCGGTAGATTGATTTGCTATACGGCAAGCCCACCGCCACTTCCTTTTGAAATAAACTGTTGTCCAAGATTCGATTTGAGCTCGTTTGGCGTGGGCGTCAGCTGCGTGCGTTGCTCTCCGGACGAAGTCGATCCAGGATTCCGTGGTGCAGACGTCAGATGTGCTACCGTTGTCGCTGTCGCCGTTGTCGTGGATGCTGTCGTTGGAGTCGCTCTCAGGCGTTGTGGTCTCTAGATTCCTTCTCTCCACGTGCTCGGAATTGCTGGCCTGATGGTTCGTTTGGTCGTCATTATCAGGGGGGCTTTTCGTGCGCCTCCTGCTGGTGCCAACTATTATTCTGATCATCTTGCGTTGTGTCCGCTGTAGTGTAATGAGCATGTCTTTAGTAAGAACCCACGAAGTGCATCCGTACGGGTGTGCAGAAAGCAGAGAACAGACATCAACGATCGCCCACGAAGCGCGCACGTCCCGCCCCCAAGCCGGGCACTAGGCGAAGCATCGCCAGCCCCACCCAGCGCTCAGGGGCGCCCACGAGGCGCCCAAGATCGGCCACCAACCGGAGCAGCGGGCGAAATACCGACAAAACCCGCCAAATGACTTATCAACATACCATCATAGGTAAGAGCCCCTGAGTGCAAGCACTGTTTGAGGAGCAAGCGTATGCGGCGGGCTTCTTGACATACGTTTTCGAGCCGCACACACTCCCGACGCATACAAACATACGTACAGACGCGCGTGCAATGTTTGTACGACGTTATACGTACACATACACAGATGTGCGCCAACCCGTACCAATGTTTGAAAACATTGCTTGTGGTCGGCGGATGGGTCGTGGGTAGGACGTGGGTGTCGGGGTGCGTTACTGGTGGTGTTTGAGAGGGGGGCGCCAAAGCATCAACATCAACAACAACAGCAACAACTACAACTACAACTACAACGCTAATACGTACCCACATAACCTCACGTCGTCCACGCACGCAGCAACAGTGCAAGAACTCTCGGTCACAACACCCTGATATACGTCACGTATATGCAAATATGATGTCGACAGGGATATAGCCAAATGAGCAGCGCTATAGGAGCATCAGTTCGATGGGTAGTTGTGTGTCCAAACAGACTTGCATACACCCAATCGTATGCACACGCGTTCTAGGCCACTGGACTCTACAGCCTGGCAGAAGTCTAGATTCTACGATATCGCTGGCACAGTCGGGTACGCCACCGTGCCCCCCACCCCCCCCCGCACGTCGAAGCTGGTAGAATCGTCGGTGAGTTCTGGTAGGGCTCCCGTGAGTCCTCCGAATGCTGGGTCGGACGAAAGGTGGTGTTCTTAGAGGGGACGCCTGCGCATCATCCCACGCCGCTGCCAGCGAGGAAGGCGCCCCGGACAGCGGAGCCGAGACCAGCTGCACGCGGTAGATTTCGCAACCACCCCTTTCCCTATCCTCCCCCCTTTCCGTCCGGCCGATGACGCCCAGGTCTACCTCCCCCCTCCCCCCATCTCGTCGCACTTCCCTGCGTGCACCAGCCCCCCACTCGCGCGGCTCACTGGGCAGTCCGACACCGCCCTAGGGCTGTCCAAGGCCCTCCATTGCGTCCAAGGCGGCCCAGAAAAGGCCACAGCCCCAAAGAAGACACCCAGAGGCAGCCCCCAAGAAGACCCCCATCATACCCGAGAGGCTGCAATGACCCAGGAAACCCAAGATCACCAAAAGTACGAAGGGATTCCATAAGTGCTGGTAAATATTAACGTTTAGATTCACTGGTCCCTCGGCTCAAGATGGTTCCGAAGAGGAGCCAAGTATCTGCCAACACTTCCAACTGAGGGCCCCAATAAGCCCCGTCAGGCAGCCCAGGATAGCCCAAAGAGGGCCCGAGGATGCCCGAAAAGGAACTCAGGACAGCCCAATGGGGCCGCAAACTGACCCAAGACCGCCCAAGAGGTCCTCAAGACAGCTCCGAGAGAATTCTCCAGACAGTCCAGAGGAGACCCAGACGGCTCAAGAGGGCCCCAAGACAGCTGAAACAGGGCCCCAAGAGAAAGAGACAGAAGACGGCACCACAAGAACCCAAGACAACCCCACGACGGCTCGAATAGGCCCCATGGGACTCAAGAAATAGAAACAAAAGGTGACACATGTTACGGCCTGCAGAGCTCGAAGTGGTAGCCACACAAATAGCTGCGTTGACACAGTGGCTGACAGAGCCGCCGACAGCAGGATAACTAGCTTGGAGAAAGGGTTAGTGATACAGCGTCCGCAGCCACATCGCCGCAGCTTGAAACCATTCCGCCAATGTCGCTTGCGCCTATGATGAGTCCACCGCCATCGTCATCGCCGCCATCACCGTCGCCATCATCAAAACTGGCTCCACACCCAGGACTCGCCGAAGCCACCATTGTCATCACCATCCGCCATCAACGTCGCGATTCCCGTCACCATCGGTCGACATCTAGCCTCTCCGATTGTACCAGGCCTTCCGACGCGAGGCCGACCACAGAACCAATGATCACTCTCCCAAACACATCCGTATCACACACAGGCAGTCCTGTAGGGACATCTCATGTTCAGAAGCTCTCTCTGAAAACTCTCATGGAGCAACTCGCTCCACTCATGCGTAGATGCTGCGTCGAACGTCCGTCCACCTGAACCGAACTTGGGTCGAGCTTGCGCGGAACTTGAGTCGAGCTAGAGTCGCAGATTCGAACTAGAGCCGAGCTAGAGTTGAACAGGCCCTTTGGGTGGCCCCCAAGAAAAAGCCCAGAACGAACATCTATGAGAAAACTAAAAAGTGCAGGTACCGCTACTCCCTGGACCTCCCCCGGGGTTCGTTTTGACATGGATTTCAAGGCAAATCCAGCAGTGGCGACGAGGGCCTCCCAGGAGGCCGAAAAAGAGGTGAACGAGGCAAGGGTGGTAGCGGTATAGGAGCCCTGTCCTCCTCTGAATCCAATCATGTTGTGCACTTTGGTGCCGTGCCCCCTTTCGTGTTGGACATCGCCGCGGAGCTCGACGTTGTTGCCGTGCCCCTCGTGCAGGGCAGGCTGTGCGCAGGATACCGCTCCGCCGCACGGCCCTTTCCCGGCCTGACGCGGCTGGGACCGGGTGCAGCCTTTTCCGAGGACACGAGGGTCCCCCTCGATGACAGGCCAATTTTCCACCACCACCACCACTACCATAGGTAGGACGGGGAAGAGGGAGGACGGGGAGGTCCTCCTCCTCCTGCTCTTCCTACTCCTCCTCGTACCCCTCGTTCTCCACCCACCTCCTCCTCCCTCTGCTGCCTGCGGTAATGGTGGTGGTCATCGGCCCATCACTTGATCTCGCGGGGTCCAGCCGCCGACGGGCAACAGGCAGGGGCACCGGCTCCTGGGGGGGGGACATCGACCAGGAATCGGCAACACATGGCCGACCGATCGACGACATGACCCCGATCGCAGAACCGCACCATCCTGACCAGGGCGGGCTGTCGGGCCCCTCTCGGCGATGCATGACCGACTGGGGGCCGGTGCATCCCCCCCGAGCCTACCCCCCCCCCCGAACGTTGCCCCCAACCCGCCCATCACACCCGACTGTGCTCACGTCCGCCCTCTTGTGCTGCTGCATGTTCGGGGGACCTTGTCTGCCCCGTCGCGCCCCTATCCGCGTCGAATCCGTGTCGAATCCATTGGGCCTCGTCGAATCCTCGAATCCACGTAAAATACGCGTCGGTCCAGGCCAAATCCGAGTCGAGCCCGCGTCGGGCCCGCGTCGTGCACAAGAACATGTAATAAAACACTGTGGGGGGCAAACAAGGTCCCACGAAGATGCAACTCGGGGATCTTCTGACCCGGGTCAGTCAGGCATTGCAGATTCCTGCAGGATCCTGCACCCCAAACCGGGTCGATGCACCCCTGGCCCTGCAGGAGCTGGCTGACCCCGTCTGCACTGACCCTCGTCTCTTGAGCCCCCGAATGCGACCTTCGGGGATGGACAGACCCCCCTTTAGTGAAACGTGGTTTAGTGAAAACGACCTGAGGCCCAAACCTGGCGGGCGCAAGCCTGGAAAATAACGGCCACGGCGCCCTCTCGAGAACCGAAAACGGACAATTCACTAATCGACGTGTCCTGTCCACCCCCTCCTCCTCCTCCCCCTCCTCGCTCCGGCGGGAAGGGGGAACCGCTCCTCGCCTCCATGATCTTGTGCTCGCCCTCGCCCGGATCGTCGGCGCCCGAGACCACGACGGTCACCCCCCTGCAGGACGGGGCCGCGGGGGATCGCCAGGCTACGGAGGGAGGAAGAGGTGGGGAGGAAAGGGAAGGGAAGAAGAGGTGGGAGGGCATGGGAATGGAACGTTGTGAGGAGAAGCCTGCAAGCCTCGCGCGGCAATTTGAGGCCCGATTTACGGCCGATCCACGCCAGATTCACGTCGGGTTCACATCGGAGTGCGTCGGATGTGCGTCGGATTATCGTGGGATGCACGTCGGACTTCCACAGGAGCATCGCCGCGCGAGCGTCGTTGACCAGATCATACCACTATTGCGCGCCGCGCGAGGCCTCCAGGAAGTTCCTCACAAGAACTGGGACAGGCCGAATTCGGTGCGGCACGGCACAGTCGACAACGACAAACCAGAATTCGCTGGGCGACAACTCGGTTGCTCAGGCCGCCCAACGGATTGGCGGACTGTTTCCCGGACCGAAGCACAGAATGCGGGTGGCCCAGGAGGTGGCCACGGAAAGGGAAGGGGCAGAACCAAAACCAAGTTCGCCCCCTGAGCGGGAGCCAAAAGAAAGCGACAACAATTTGTCACAAATCTAACCCTTTGAGTCCACCTGGGCAACGACGAAAAGCGGGTCTTACGCGAGAAGACACAGCAAACTTGCGCCGCGGCTTGCGCGGGCCGCCAGCGCGGCACGCGACATTGGAAACAAGTACGCTTACGCGCGACCTTGCACGAGCAGCTTGCGCGCGAATGTCAACGGAATCGAACCCGTTTGTCTGCAACTTCTGGAAAATCTTCGTCAGCACGATGAAGCGCCAGAAAACCCGACTCAGGGCCTACTGAGCTGGACCAGGCCGGATTCAGCCCAGGATCAACACGGAGCGGATTATCCCTGACTCGGCAAGCTTGCCGCCAACGACATACCAGCACCGATACTGAACTTCACCTCCCAGGAAGTGCATCCCAACAGTCCGATTGGTCCGCCCAGTCCCCACGAGCGGCGACCACATCCGTATCCGAGTTCAGGGATCTTCTGACCCGGGTCAATCCAGACCCGGGTCAGCAGGAAACCAAAAGCTGCAGCGCAGGTCTTCGCAAACCCGGGTCAGCCAATATGCGCGGCGGCCTCGCGACCACAAGCGGCTCGCTAACCCGGGTCAGCCAGAGGGGGTCGTCGCAGGATCCTGCAGGATCTGGTGCCCTGGCTGACCCCCGTTTGCATTGACCCCCGTCTCTTGAGCCCCGACGAGTCCTCGCGGTGTGGATTCCGGGGGGGGCGATCCCGCGGACGCCGCCGTCTCCGCGGGGTCGCGGTCAAAGGCCCGATATTGGCCCGCCCGCCCGCCGATGCCACCCTGCGCTCCCGGCCGCGGGCCGCTGGGCCGCAGGGGCTCCTGTGAGAACTCGTGTTAAGTCGGGCCTGTCCCCCTACAGGGGGATCTTCGACGAAAAATAAAAGATACCCCAACAATACTCAAAAAATAATAAAAAAATAGTCTGGGGACTATTTTTCTAATATTTGTTGACCTTTTTGGGGTATTTCTATTTTTCGTCGAAAATCCCGCTGTAGGGGGACACGCTCGACATAACACTCGTGGGAGCCTCCCATGCCAGCTTGCTGCCTCTGGCGAATCGGCGCGAACCGACGCTACTCGACGCTAGATCGGCGCTCGCTCCTCGAGATTGCCCGAAGAACTCGAGCACGCGAGTGCAGTCTGAAGACGGAACTGCGATGACAGGCAAGGCTCCCATGACTTGCAGCCGGAACACACACATAAGGGCAACGACACGTGGTCCCCGGTGCAGAGCTTCGCTTGCTGAGTCCCACCCTTGGGTCTGACCCTTGTGGCCCGCTCGCTGGCCCCGCGCACAAGGCCCTTCCACCTGGGCTCCCCGCGCAGAGAAAGCACCGCGCGGAGTGCGCTGCGCGCGAGGCCGCCCCCGCCCGCACGGCTTGAGCTTGAGATCGCAGGTCGTCGCTCTTGTTGCGCGACAGCGCTGTGGAGAGGCCGCGGGGGCCTCAACAATCTACTGCGCCCCCGATGTGGCCGAAGCCAGTGCCCCACACCGTGCGGCCCAGAACGTCGCGCCCCAGATCGCCCTCGCAGTTCAACTGTTGCACATGATCCAAAAGAGTGCGCTCTGCTCAAAACTGCGCATCGTCTGCTTGTACTTGCAGCTCGTGTTTGGAACAGATGTTCACAAGTTTCCTCGTTGGTGTAGGCACATGCTTCCTTTTCTCAAAATAAGAAGTATTTGTCTGTGCGTCCTTTACACTATGGTTTACAGCCCGTGGCTCTTCGATCTTAGTTGGGTGCTGCCTGAAAGAGCGTCTTCACAAGCACAGCCAGAGCCCCGCCCCAAATGCTCAGCAACAACACCGATCAAGCCCATTGCCCACCTTGCAAAAGACGGGTCGGACAAGACGAACTGCATCCGTGGAAGATGAGAGTCGCATGGAAACATGCGCACAAAGACGAATAGCCTAATGTCGAATCGCCTCATATCGATCAAAACGAATCGATCGACTCTACGAGCAGACATTGGTCCGCAACTTCAAACAATACTGACCGTGGATAACCCTGGGCACGAACTCTCGAATGATTTGGATCGGAATTGCCGAAAGAAACGAGAACTTCTGATCCTCGCACCGTCAGCACAACCTCAAGACGGCCCAAGTGAGCTTCATTAGAGCTCCTCAAACATGAGAAACACGTATCATATGTGACGGCCTCACGTGCCCCATGGCCCCACGAACAATCGACAACCAACATGCTGGGCACGGACGGTGGCGGGACTTGCCACAAGCAACTGGATAAAATGCGTCTCATCGGAGGCAGAACCAATGAACCGTGCACCTCCTTTGATCCTTGCTGGATTCGGCGCCGAAGGCAGACTGGAGGAACCAAATATCCCACTCGGTGTGTCGGCAGATCCTGAACTCGGGAGATCTCCAATCTCCACCCAGGTGTGCGAAGAGTGGCGGCTACCGGTGGAGACTGTGCGCACGCACCTCAGCTCAGAAAGCGATGGAGACTCCTCAGAGCGTCAGTCCCCTGATATCAGCTGGACAGCGCTAGGATGGCGCAGGGCATCCGTCATGCGAATTCGCATCAACAGCAGCAACATAATTGCGACTGTCACCGCGGCCTGAAAGACTGCCAACGACACAAACACTGTCTCAACGCTGAGGCCAAGACACGTGAACAGGACGAAAGCCGATAGACCGTTCATCAAGTTGCCAACGGCGGAGTTCAGCATAAAGACCGTAGAGACGACACCTGTAGCCACGGCCTCATGTTGCGAGGGGGGCACCCCAACAAGCGCCAGACCGCTGTCTACAGCGCGGCGCGTCTCACCGAAGAACAACGTGTTGACGAAACTAAACGTCATGAAAAACACCAAAAACGATATGGCAAGGAGCCACTCGCTGGAGCGACCCTTGACCATGACAAAAGCTGCAGTCGCGAGCACGAATCCCATCAGCAACAATACTGGCAAAGACCTCCTGGTTGTTACTGCCTGTACCGGCTGCAACAGCAATCCACCACCGTGCCCTATGGCACGTTGAGACGTAGAGGCGTGGCAGAATGCCAAGCGTTGCCTGGCATCCTCTGAAAGACCCTCGCTCTCTACTCGCGGACTGCCGTACAGTCAACCCGTATCATAAGGATGTGCGGCAAGCGTGCAAGGGCCTTAGAGGCCCATGTAAACGTTTTTCGAACGAGGTTGGCCAGCAAAAGTGGCCAAGGATGGCCCGAAAGGGGCAAGGATGCAAGGGTACCCTTGGGCAGGTTACCCTTCCATACTATGCGGGTTGACTGTATACATCGCCCCCTCCTCACGAGGCCACGACCCATCGTAAAAAATCGTGGATCCACGATCCCCAGGCCGCGACCACTCGTCACAGGCAGTGCATGCGCGATCCCGAGGCCACGATCTCCGGAACTGCGCTCAAGAGGCCACGAGCCGCGCCCCCGAGGCCACGAGTTCCGCTGCAACACTGTGGACCCTCGCTCAAGGCAGACCGCGTGGGCATTTCCTTGTTCGGCGTTTCGACATTGGGCGGAAGGAGGGGACGGGGGGGTCTGGCTCTGGACCTCTGCTCAATGCGACTGTTTGCAGCGGTGCGTCCTATGGGGGGGGGCTCCACCGGCTCGAAACAGGCGCCAAAAACAGTCAAGATCTACTCCATTCCGGGGCAGGGGGGGGTGGGGGTCCGAGGGCCCGCGCCGATCGTCAGAACAGTGAATCGGGAAACGATCACCACCGAGACCGCTCGGATGCCGCCGAGATGGCCCCAAGACCCACGAGGGCACAAGCGGGCCACAAGGGGACGAGCAGGGCCCTAAAAAACACAAAGTCGCAGTTGCCCCGCTGGTTGTGCAGATATTTGAGCGTCTTCACATCTTTGGGCGCCCTGCATCTTCAGGCGGCCCTGGATTTAGGTCGGGCGTGCCCTCCTACAGGCGGATTTTGGGCGAAACATATAAAATGCCAACAAACATACCCCAGAATGATCGAACATAGTAGACCAGTCCCCATATTAGTTTTTCCTTGTTTGAAGATTCCTCCTGTAGAGGGACATGCCCGTCTTCATCCTAGATGTCTCCAAGATGGCCCCAGGAGAGCCCCCCGAGAGGGCCAAGTGCTCCTCCAAGGCAGCCTCAAAGCAGCCCGCGAGGGCCCCTGGACGGCCCAGGACGACCCCCAAGCGAGCGCCGAGCTGGCCTCCAGAGGGCCTCCAGGAGGGGCCCGAGGCAGTCTCAGAGGGAGCCCGTCGGCGGCCCAAAGGCGGCAGCAGGACGCCGCCAGGCGGCCAGGAGGGCCCCACCACGGCCAAAGAGATTCTCATCGACGGCCCTGAGAGGGCCCGAGGACGGCCCGAAGTGGCCCAAGACTGCTCAACAGAGGCCGACGAGAGGACGGGGAGAAGAGGAGAAAGATGACGAACGCGAGAAGCGGACCCCCCGAAACGGCACTGAAGAGTGTGTTTCATGTGACGGCTCCCGCAAGCCTCGGGGCAGGAGGTGTCACACGTTACGGCCTCCTGTGCGCCACACGAGCAGTCGCCATCCAAGGGGCTGGGCTGGCACGGTGGCGAGACTTGCCGCAGGCAGCTGGATAACATAGAGCACACAGAGCCTCCAAGCAAAGCAACGGCGAAGATAGTCCCATTGTAGTCGTGCCCCTTGATACTATTGACATAGATCGACGACTCATACCCATAAACTGTTTGGTAGAGCGGGTAGCTCATGGTCCAGAAAAGAGAAGACAGCCAGAACTGCCTGCTCTGGTAAGCAGATCTCAACAAAACCAAAGGTCGTGATGCTGTGACCATCCGATCTGCGTGGACAGTCCGGAGTGTGCAAGCGATCAGCGCTGCGATGAACACCGAGCAAGCAGATATCCACATTAGCCCCTTCACGCCGACACTGGTGTGGGCGAGCAACCAATCGCCGACAAAACCCGCACAAGTGTGGGATATCAGATAGGACGACTGGGTCAGGGCCGTGAGACTTTGGCTCTGTCCCGGGACGACTCTCAAGCAGTACGCGTAGAAAGCGATCTCACCAACGATGCCGATCGAGAAGCCGACCTGCATGAGCTGCATCGCAAGTAGCCCCTCACCAAACAACAGGAGCAAGCGAGTGGCCACACGGCCACCACAACCTATCAGGATCATACGCTTGTCATTCGTGAAACCTGGGCGTCCCAGGCTCAGACTCACAACCATTGACACCGCGGCCAAGACGACGACAACCAACGACCCATATGTATAGACGGTGTAGACCTCTGCATCGCGCTGGTGCTTGGATAAACGCTTGACATCTGTCAAGTATACAGAGAGGTGCGGCTCCGATGGCTTGAACGCCAAAAAAAATATAAAAGCTACGCAGCGCATGTAGTCGCTTGCGTGATCCATCTCCCCCTGGCGGCACACAGACTCGCTGCTCGAAGGATCCGACATGGCTATGGTGAAAGAAATGAGGGGCGGGAAGGAGGCGGCGTGGAGGACAATCGTGTGAGAAAGGTCGAACCAAAGAGGGTGGCACTCCGTGGTGCCCTTTGCGCAAGACCGCATCCGAACAGCCTGTCCTTCGCTGGCTTCTGGGAAGACCTCGCCGCCGATCAGAGCACACAGCTCCAGGGGTTCACCCGGCGGAAGATGAGAGCGGTTGGAGCTCAGATGTCACATATGGTGTCCCTGGAGATACGTGTACACCGCAAAGCCCAAGCTGGGCGCCACTGCTGGAGTATGTGCCGTATGCCTCCGCTCACTCCTCGCTAGAGGCTGAACCCCCTGATGGGCACACCAGGGCAAGCCTGGGCCACCTCACAGGCTTCTCCTTCCATGGGATGGGTCACACCATTTTGAAAGATGACTCCCTGGGCGTCCTCCCCAAATCTTCGAGACCAGGTCCGAAAATACACTACGGTATTCGCCCGTATGGTCTCGCAGCGACCGTGCCAGCCTCTGTGGTTACAAACAGGCCATCGCAAATATTCTATGCGCACCGGTCGTACAAAAGGCCACAGCAGCAGATCTTCTACAGCCGACTCGGACTCCCACTCAAGCCTGATATTACATCAGCATCGCGGCCACCCCGCTCAGGGAAACCTCGCGGACGATTCTTCAAGATGTAGTGCGCATGCCTACACGCCAGAAGTCGTGAACGAAAACGTGAGGCCCACGAATACCAACTACCTGGATTAGTCGCGAGGGTGTCACATGCAAGCCTAGATCCAAAGTCAAACCAGCAGCGATGGGGACTATCTGCGCCAGGGGTGCAGTCAAGGGAAAAACGGGGGCGTTGCAAGAAAAAAGCGAGGTGCATGCGCAGACAAGCTGACCAACTCTTAAGTTGAATATTGCGACCACCTTACGTACCATAATCTTCGATAGAGACGGGCCTGGTGCTAAACAACTCAGACCCGTCGATGCTGCCAACGCCTGCTGAGACCAAACAAACCAGCTTCTAACGAATCCACCCTCCTCATCAGCACCGCACTGTCTTCTAGAGCGCGGGACATAAGTGATACACAGCGATGTCGAGCATCGGGCATCGGCCTGCAGTCGAGGTGCCGCCGGGGCACTGCAGGTGGTTGCCGGGGCGCCGCTCTGACTGACACTGAATGGCGGTGAAACAGAAGCACAAGCGAATAAGGAAAGAAAGAGAGAGAGTGAGAGAGAGACAAGTGCGCAACCGCCCAAAATCATGGGAACAAGAGTGAATCGAAACAGCTAGGACAAAGGGAAGCAGACGTGGGGTTGCTTCAAGGGTGCGGGTGTGCGTGCTTCTGTATGCCACGTGTGAACGAACTTCATTTGACTCGGCAGCCCTGTACTAAGAGTATGCCAATAAGAAACGCGTGGAGATGAGATGCCACGACGAGAGATGTCAAGAGAACATACGCGGGGGGGCCCAGAAGACAACAATAGGAAGCGGTACCGTAGAATCTCGAGAACAGCGCAGGAGGGGGATAGCAATGACCGTATAGAAAACCAGGCAAGGCGAGAATAGAAAAAGAAAACACACTGTAACATTAAAATGTTGGGGCTCCGCGCGGATTTCTTGGGTCTGCGCGGGACCCACTTCTCTGGCGCACGGAGCGCGCCAGGGGCGGCGGCGGAGGCGCCGCTGGGGGGCCAAGCGCGGATCCAAGAAATCCGCGCAAAGCGCCAACATCGCGTGTTTATGACGTTTTCTTTTTCGAGAGACAGGAAGAGAATCCGACGCATACACACACGAACACACATACGCGAACACGAATGCTGTTACCGCGGACCCAGCGAGCGCGCAAGGTCGGTCGAGCAGCCCACGGGAAGAGACAGCGGACTGCGCGACAGCACGAGGCTGGGAAAGAGGGGGGGGCAGAGCGGCCGCGGTGGGCGGAGCGGCCGGGGCAGGAGTTCTTCGTCCACATGCTGCGGCCCAGGCTCCAACGCGGGACGCACAGGGACATAGCGGGACTGCACGTCCTCCTCGGAGGCGCGGGTCCGGTCTGATCGCATAGTACAGGGCAGTTTTCTAATACATCGGACTTTTTGAATATATGATTTTTGATACATGATTTATTTAGGAATACATTTATGCATGAACTCATCCTTGTTTTTAATCCTGAGTCCCTGCATTTTTAATACATGATCCGCTCGCGGAGCATGTATCAACAACTGCACTGTATGCCCGCCTTGTAGTAGATCGTTCCCCGAGCGGTACGGCCAGAAAGCAACCGCCACGATGCATATCATATACCTATGAGATGTCTAGGTGCGTGCGTCGCCCCCCCCAGGGGGCGACGCACGTGTAGTAGAACTGTGTTGGAATGGCGCCGACAACGAGTCGGTGGAGGAGGGACGCCGGGTCGTCCCGGAGGAGGCACGGCAAGTCGGCGTCCACGTCGAGGACGAGCAAAAAGACCGGCACATAGATATATAGAGAGAGAGGGAGACAGAGCGCCGCGCGCGGGATGGCGGGGCCTCAGCGCGACCCAGCTGCCCTCGCCGCGCGCCGCCGCCTGGCAGGGACGCATGGGAGAAGGCACAACGGAAGGCGGCAGGCCAGCGTCCAAACCTACCATTTGTGCGTAATCGGCTGTTGGCCTTCAAGAAAGAGACGACGGTGACAACAACGACGATCGCAGAATTGACCTGCACAGGCGCTTGCAATGCTGACACACCTGGCAGCGCCGACACAACCCTCAGGGCTCAGCACTTTGAAACGGTAACAGTGTGTTGCATCACTCAGATCGGCGGAATCTCAGATTCTGCGCAATGTTACACGAGGGGCCTCAGGTACATTATCGTTGGATGTTGTCATAGGCTCCTGTGGACCTATCCCTAGCCCTCCGGATGATCTCGTGGGATCCCTCACTGTACCCACTTGGTGGAATAGAGGCTCCAGGGACCTCGAATGCAACGTAATACATCACAGCCTGAGACGTAGCATGCGGGCGCGACACCAATGCAAACGAAGCATCACCCCGACCAGACGCACGGCCATTATGGAAACAAGTCGCAACGCGGATTCGGACCAGGGCGCCGCCACGTGGCTTTCACGGGCCCGCTGCATGTACATTGCGACTCCCGCAGTGCTCAGGAGGCGCCTGTATGCGCCCAGAGCAGCGGAGCCCGATTTGGCCTTGTGTCCGCAGGGGTCGGGGGGGGGGAAAGCGGTCCATCCTGCTCCCCCGCTCCATGGAAATGGCTGCACGTATGGCCGGTCCACCGCCGACGATGGTCTGGAAGAGAGCCTATGACGTGCTTCCTTTCTTCTGGGGCACACGCCCCAGCTTCGAAAACATGCCCACGCGGACGACTCGGGCCGTCCTCCAGCATCACTGGTGATCGGGGTCGATGCGTTGCCCCCTTTCCCGCCTTCCTGGCCTGCCCGAGCGGCCCCACGGAGCTCCGGGACGGCCCAAGAGTGCTTCGACGATGCGCCCAAGACGGCCCGAAGACGGCCTGGAAGGCACCCGAGATGCCCCACCCGAGGGCCCCGAGATGACTCCCATAGAAGGATATCCCCGCCCGGCGATCCCCCCCGTCGTCGAGTAACCGAAAGGACCCCTAACACTTTGGGAGGGGACCTACGCCAGGAACGCCAAGAACATTAGGGACGGGGGTCCTTTCTGCAGACGTCTCGAACCAACCGCCCAGACGTTGTATCCCTAGCGCACAGACGGGGACCTCAGTGAGGCCACGCCTTCGTCTTGTCATCTAGGGTTGGGGGCTCTTTTGCTCTCGTTGAGCCGTTGCCCCTGGAGCAGGAGACACTTGGCGGCGCGCACAAGGGGGTGGAGGGAGGGGGGAAGGCTTCTTGGCAGGAGGCTGCTCCTTAGAAGGCGCCGGCCTCACATCTAGAGATAAAGCCCGCGCCTTCTGAGAAGCAGGGGTGCTTCTGAGAAGCCCTCCCCCCTCCCCCCACCCCCCTCTGCGCGTGGCTGAGACACGCCGCGCTGCTGGCGCGCAGCGGCACCCTCTCGCCCCCGAAGGCCGGCGCTCCGCCCAGAGCCCCGCGGCGCCGGCAGCGCAGGCCCCCGCCGCTGCGGGGGAAGCGCAGGCAGGCGGGGCAGTGGGAGCAGGACAGAAGCAATCCAGGTCGGCTCTCTTAACCCTCCTCCTCCTCCTCGAGGAGGAGCGGGGGAGGAGGAGGGCCAAAGGAGCTGACCTGTCCAACTTCCCTCCTTCTAGGCCCACTCGGCTCGCCGCGGGTGGCTCAGAGCCGGCCCCTGGACCTCTCTCGGGGGGAGCTCGGCCCCAGAGCCCCTCTCAATGGGGCATCTGCAGGCGAGACTTCTCCCACCTTGGCGCCAGCTTGTAACCTCCTCTGAGTCAAGAAGGGTCGGCCCCAGGAACTCGCTGGGCGGGCGGTCTGACAAGAGCCTCGAGCGGGGACCAGCCGTCCGGGGAGCAGAGCCCCACGGGAGCGGCCCACGCACCTCCACGTCGTGATTCTTTCACCACGTCGGCCCCCCGAGGTCTGGACCCCTCCTCCAGGAATCGGCTCTTCACCCTGAGTCGTTGTCTTGACGGTCCCGAGGCCCCGTGAGGGCCCCCGGAGGCCGAGCATAGCAAACCACCTCCCGCAGTAGAACTGACGCAACGCGAGGGGGTCCGCGGAGAGGGGGGTTCTGACCAGCACCTCGCGGGTAGTCTGGGCGTCGTGGCGGCGAGGAGCCCTCGGGGAAGCCCCAGAAGGCACGAGAGCGGCCCACGAGCTCAGGTCGGGCATGTCCTCCTACAGGCGGAGCTTGGAAGGATAATGACAAATTGTCAAAACATACTCAGCAATAGCCACAAGTAGTAGAATAATCGCCCCCAGGCTATCGTTTCGCTATTCCTGAACACACCTCGTGTAGAGGGACATGCCCGCCTTAACCACAAGCCCCAACATCCTCGGGGACCCTCCGTGCTGCCTCCTCGCGCGGCGCGTGCACGGCGGCGGCCCGCCCCGCCAGGCACGAGTGCGGCCGCCTCGTACGTGAATCGCGGCGCAGGTCGCTAAGAAGATGAGAGGTTTCCTAATGGATACTCGGAGGTGGGATGTAGCTCATGTAGAGGCCTCGTAGATGGGGTCCGAGTAGATGGGGTCGAAAAATCGCGCCGCATCGCCAATGCATCGCCGAGGTATCGGCGATGCATCGGCGATGCACTGGCGACTTCGGCGATGTATCGGCGACGTTGGCGTGGAGGAAAACGGACTCCGCATCGAGACGCATCGCCGATGCATCGGCGATGCGGCGCGAACCTCGGACACGATCTACTCGGACCGCATCCAGGAGAACTAGATCTTGAGGGCGTACAGATCTGGGCTGATTGGGCGGAGCCCACGTTGAGGAGGTATCCAATCACCCTAGGCCACGTAGGGAACTGTATCACCCACTTAGGCCAGGCTCGGCCAGAAGTAACCCGCCTGCGCGCCCACTTCGAACAAACTCCACCATCCACTTAGCAACACCCGCGGCGATCAGAATAGGGGCAGGAGGTGG